AAATCTGATGTTACTTTTCCCAAAAGTCTTGTTTGATAGTCCAATGTTTTAAGTTGAGAGAAGAGAAGGAAGTCAAGGAAAGGACACAGAAGGTCTGCATGGATGAACTAGGAGCTCCTAAAAAAACTGAAACATGAAGAGACAGAAGCAGGTACAGGTGACACAGGAGGAATATGGAAAAACTGCCTGAGTGTGCAGGGAAGGGATTAGAAAAGCCAAAGCCCAGCTGGAGTTGAAGAAGGGCTTCAACAGCAAAAAGACCATGAAAAACGTGTGCCTGCTGCTGAATGAGGAAAGGAACCTGGTGACAAAATAGATCAAAAAAGCTACAGTACTCAATGCCTTCTTTGTCTTGATCTTTACTGGCAAGATTTGCCTTCAGTAATCCCATGTCCTTAAGAAGAAACTGGAAGTCTGGAGCAAAGAAGACTTACCTTTAGAGGAAGGGGGATCGGGTTAGGGAACATTTAAACAAACTGAGCATACATGATTCTGTAGGGCCTGATTGGTTGCATCTCAACTGTCAAGGCCACTCTTGGTTTTTTGAAAGGTTATGGCTACTAGAAGAGGCTCCTGATGACCAGAAATAAGCACATCACTCCAGTCTTCAAGAAGGATGAGCCATGGAACTACATGCTGGCCCACCTCACACTGATCCCTAGGAAGGGGATGGAGTAAAACCTCCTGGAGACTATTTCCAAACATATAAAGGATAAAGTAGTGGCTGGAAATAGTCAGCATGGATTTATGAAGGGGAAATCAAGCCTGACCAACCTGATAGCCTTCTACAATAAGATGACTGGCTCGATGGATAAATGGAGTGCAGTTATTACTTGTCTTGCAAGGCTTTCGACACCGTCTCTTGTACAACATCTTCATAGACAAAATTATGAAGAACACATGGGATAAGTGAACAGTTAGGTGGACCAAAAACTAGTTAAAATTCTGGGCTCAAAGCACTGTGATCAGCAATGCAAAGTTCAATCTGAGGCCAGTGATGTGTGACCAATACTGTTCAATATTTTAATTAATGACCTAGATTATGAGATGGAATGTATCCTCATGCAAGTTAATGGATGGTACAAACTGGGAGTAGCTGATAGACAGTGCTGCCATTCAGAGTGATCTTGACAGCCTGAAGAGAAAGGCAAACAGGAACCTCATGAAGTTCAATAACAAACGCAAAGCCCTGTGCCTGGGGGGGAATAATCCCAGGCACAAGTGCACACAGGGGACTGACTGGCTGGAAAGCAGCTTTGTAGGAAAGAACCTGCTGGTCTTTGTGAACAAAAAACTGACCATGATACAGCAATATGCCCTTGTGATGAAGATCACCCACAGCCTCCTGGGCTACATTAAGAACAGTATTGCTATCAGGTTGGTATTGGGGCATCCTTCCCCTTTACTTAGTACTGGTAAGATGCATCTAGAGTGCTGGGCTCCCTGGTACAAGAAACACACTGACATACTGGAGTAAGTCCAGCAAAGGCCCACAAAGATGATTACAGGATGGGAGCATGTATCATATGAGAAGAGGCTGAGAGAGCTGGGACTGTTCAGCCTAGCAAAGAGAAGGTTCAGGCAGGATCTTATCCATGTGTGCAAACAGCTACTGAGAAGCAGCAAAAAAGATGGAGCCAAACTCTTCCAAATGGTGCCCAGTGAAAGGGCAAGAAGAAATGGGCCACAAATTGAAATCCAGAAGTTCCAACTGGACATCATAAAAAAAAAAAAAAAAGGCAAAGACCATACACTTTTCTACTCTATGGGTGGTCAGACACTGGAAGAGTGTTGCCCAGAGAGGGTGCGCCATCTCCAGCTTTGAAGATAGACAGCATCCAACTGTACATGTCCCTGAGCAACCTGTTCTAGCTAACCCTGCGCTGAGCAGGGGAGCGAGTTCAACAGGACCATCTCCAGACGTACCTGCCAGTCTCAGCCATTCTGTGATTCTGTGAAGAGACAGGAAGAAGGGACTAGGCAGGAGCTATCATCTACAATGCAGGCTTAGTTTTAAACCAAAAGTGAGTAACCCTCCTCATACCAGACATTTTGCTCATACCTGAATACATCAGTTGCAAAGGTAAACTGATGATGTTGTTACTCCATGAGGGATTAAAAGCTAATAAGACTATTAGCTACACACTTTATCTAATAGTGCTTGTTTGGCTTATTTTATTTTACATAATTGAATCAACTAAATTTGATTTGGTGATCAGACAGTAAGTCACAAACAAATCATGTTAATGTAGCTGCTGTTGTTTTAAACAGGAAGTAATTTCTATCCCAGTGAGAACAGAAAAGATTGAAAACTTCTTTCCTAGATGTCTACATTCTTTACTGGAGCTGACTGGGAGGAAAAAACAAAACAAAACAAAACAAAAAAACAACACACAACCAACAAACCAGCAAGTCTGTGTCTTGCTTCAGAGCAATTTTTTCCTCAAAAGATATAGTACAGAGAGAACAGATCTTAAGCAGTGTGACTACCCAATTGTCATTCAAAAGGAGACCCAGAAGCTCATCTCCCTTTCAATTTTTACACTGAGGTAAAACCATGAGTGCCAGATTGGATGTTAAGGCTTAAATGCCACACAAGGTCTGGACTGACTTCCTTCCTTCCATGTCTATCACCAAGAGTTACCAGAAGCAGCTGTTCCATACCAGTTAAATTCTAGGAATAAGATTTATAGGAAAACCTTAGGAAGATGTACCAATAGTTATCATCTCTTCTTACTATCCCTCCCTTTAACCTACCACAGATCTGCCCTCCTAATCAGGTATTTATACCATACTTGATTGCATTTGAACTCATAACCAAGAATGTGTCAAAACAACCCAAACTGAAGGACTGGATAAAAACTAATATCTTCAGCCACAAGTAGACTTCACTGAGTTTAAAATAAAAATCAAGATCCATTTGGTATTGTGTTCAGTGAAAGAACTGTTTTAATAACCATTGTGGTACATCAGGCCTTTCTCTCATTTTGGTCCTTCACAATTTTTTCTTAACCTAAAGGTCAGTTACAACACTTAAGTCCCCAAATGGGTGATGCATTTTTCAAAGCCTACTCCTCAACCTTGCATGAATGTTTTCAACAGAAATCATTTTAATATATGGAAGAGCTGTTACAGCATAATTATCTGTCTTAGCGCATTGACATCTGTCCCAAAACCAAAGATAAAAATATTTGTTTTCTGTTAAGTTAATGTGGGGTAAAGCACTGAAAGAATGAAGAGGTCAAATGTGCCTCCACTTGTTTCCTTGTGCTGTGGAGCTTTGTTCTCACATATGTGAGAGCCTTATATCAGATCCACTAGATGGTGCAATCCATCTTCTCCATTAAATGTGTTTGAAGTTTATACACATAAGTAGTTAATTTTTAAAGAGGAAAAAGTCAAACTTAAGGCTAATCAATGAAAGGTTTATTACTGGAAGAACAAGGCACCAAAGAAAATGGTGGGGTTCAGGAAAGATCTAGGCTTGAAATTCACATAGCATCCAACATTTCCATTTTCCAGAGAAATATGATTTCACCCAATTTTATAAATGAAGTTCAACAAAATGTTTATCACATGAAAAAAAAAAAAAGTAATCAGAACAGCACACTTTAAATTATTCAAGTAACATCATCAGGGAAATAATCAATCCAACAGGGGCTTCAACAAATTTACTGACAAATAAGAATGGCATTCAGCAGCATGATGGTATTCAAAACAACCTAAAATCCATCTTAAGTACTTCAGAGGTAAAAACAGTACCCACTAAGAATAGAATCCCATAGCTACATTCTGATATGTCCCTTGTTACCTATAACCTTGACCTAAAGCTGGTTAGTTTTTTACTCTGATTCTAATCCCTTACTGTGACTGGGAATTAAATCAAGATACAGAGATAGAAAAAAAATTACTTTCAGGTAAGGAGGTGAGCTATCTCCATGACAGACTACAGCCTTGATCTGTATCACAGCCAAATTTTATTTCAGCCCTTGCCAAGTTCCCAAATGCTTGAGGTCTACTGAATCACTGAAGAAGATTCTATACTGCTTATTACTTTCTTGGTAAGTGACTATTTACCATGACGAATTGTGTGCACTGCCAAGACAAGTCCTCAACTAGAAAGCAGGGTACAGTGTTTTACTGGCCTCTCAGAAAATGGAACAGGTGCAGTGCTTTCTGCTTGGCAGGCTTAGTAAAAATTAGTAGACCTTCAAAAAGTAATTTATTAGTCCTCTCCTGGCAGTTTTTGGTGGACTTTTATTCTCAGAATTTCCTATTTTTTTCTCCTCAAAATAGGTGTTCTTTTTACAGTGCCATGAAGACTGTTAATTCACATATTCTGCAACACTTGAAAATGTAGTTTCCTACAGCCTACCAAAAAAAAAAAATAAATTCTCCAACATCAGTGACATATTTTGCAAAGGATAACCCCTAAAATTCAAAGAAAAATTGATTTTTTTTTCTTCAAAGCAACATAAATTGCACCCTAATACATTATAAAATTGATACTAAACTCCATTTCTTCTCCACTTTATGAAAACAGCTCTACCAACAGTGACAAGGAAGTACAAAATAATACCAACTTTGCTAAATTTAGTGTAGTATTTCTTGACTGAACGTTTTCCTTATGGGAATTTTCCTTTTGGAAAACGTTCATTTGGAGAAAAAAATATCCTCACAGAAATGTGTGTGCCATGATGAAATGGTGCCTAAAAGGTCACTGCTTTTTTGATGATATGTCAGCCTAGCACAGCAAAAATATTTTAGTTCTTCATTTCACTTAAGAATTTCAAGCATTTTCAGAAATACCTCTATCTTACTTAATAATCTGCATAATGTAAATAGAAAGTATGGAATGAAAGATGGCATGTTAGCCTAGAAACTTACTCAATTATATGGAGTTACTGCTGACAGTACATTTAATAGTATCTTTACACAGAGACCATCCATAATGCTTTTGCCCGTTACTATTTTGTGTCATGCTTGCATACATCACTGACCTTATGGAGTGCAGGAGCCATTACTGGCACCAAAAATCCATTGTAAATGTAATTCACAAGCTGGTTACGTATCAAGGGATGTGCCACCTAAGACGGTGGGGAAGAGAAAGACACACAACAGTTCCAGTGAGATTTAAAAGAAGGCAGGGCACAAACGACTATTATCCACTACCAAAACCCTTTCCCATTTAACAAGATATTTCCCCTTCTCACCAGCATTTGCTATGATTCAGGTTCTCAAAGATTTTTCCTTTCTCAAATAAGTACGCAAACTATGTTTAATTACAGTAAACCTGCCACATTTAGAGAACAGGGCTTTTCAATCTCCCTGCACACTGACAAAGATAAATGGATGGACAGAATAGTGTGTATACCCATGCATCAGAGGAAGATTTGAGATTCTAAATTTAGCTCCTGCAACCTTGCCAGGGTCATCTGAAGGTGGATTTGCCATTGTTAACTTGTCCTCTTACAAGCAGAACAGCTGTTTTCCTGTGGTTTAAGAGTAGGTAAACCAAAGCACTCTCTAGCTATGGGACAAGAACATACTGTTCACATGCCCTTCTCCCAACCACTGTAAAACAAACAGAAATACAAACAAAAGCTACATTATTAATTCAATAGGTTGGTTAGGAGCTTTAAAACATTAACTGTTATTAGAAGCCAAAATATTACTTTTATAATGAAGCATTCCTTTTGTTTTCATAAAGAAAACATATCAACCCATGCATTTAAAAGAAATTTGATAAATACAAAAAGGAAATGCCATTCGGAAACATTCTAAGTTAATATATTCTGTTTGAAGTTCAGATAGAGACTGGAATGTCACAGCCTGCATGTGGCCACAAATACGTTCTCCCACTTGCCTTTCTTTCCAGACTTCCTTTAATTTGTAACCCTTACTTTGGAAAGGGAAAGAAAAAGGGTTGCCCTTCCTATGCTGTGATCCAAGGAAAAAGTAGTAAATAGCAAGAGCTCTTGGCCATACTGTCCCTTTCTAATCTCTGGCCAAAGTTTGTGTGTCAACACAGAACAAGCCACACCATGAAGGCCATTCCATGCACAGAGCAAGAATTCCTGCAGTAACTGAGCTTTCAATTCAGCTGAAGAAAGACTATACAGACACAATCAAGGAGCAGCCAGAAACTGCTCTTTCTGCAGGTCAGCTGGAGATCCTTAACTATTTTGAGTTTATTTGAAAAGTGGTTTTAAAATAATATGTTGTTCTTTTAATTTATCTGCTGTAACCTTTATATCAATTTTTAGAAGGTATCAAATATGACCTTCTGCAACTGTAGATCTATACATAAATTCTGCTTAGACACCAAAATGAATACTGTCTCCTCTTCACATTTAAACATGCATGTTAAAAATCTTGTATACTGCATTTAAAGAATGACAGCTACTATTATTTTTGCTTGTTCAATGCTTTAACTCAATCAGTTGCTTTACTGTATTTCACACATATCTCACAAAAACATATCTTTTATTTAACTGTAAATGTGACTAAATTTTCAATCCTATTCAGCATATTTCTTCAAAAAACATACAAACCCACAGTTTCTGTAGAATTTAAGGCATCAAGGACAGAAAAAAAAATTGTAATCAAGAAATAGTCATGAAGAACAGAGAGTGGATTCAGAACAGGCCAATTTAAAATTAATTTATATTTCCAGGAAGATACCTAAATTCTGCTTGGGAGGCTTTCTTTATTCGCCAACAGGACAGACAATTTTCTTTTGTACGCTATTATGAGAGCTTAGACAAACACAGAATGTTTTTCAGAGCTTAAATATATAAAGATTACATTTTCCCACATGTAAAGGCATTCAATTTATTTCTAGTATCAACGGTAATATTAAAATGCAATAAACTTTTTTTTTTTAAACAGAAAATCCTCCCAATTACACATTGAAATATCAAGCCACTAAACAAATCTACTGCTTTCGTTTGAAACATGTCACCTGAAAACCAAACCCATTAATTCAGCCTTATTACCAGAGCAAACAGCACAAAACATTTGTTTTATAAGAAACTTATTTCAGTGTAACTTTAAAAGTCCACACATTAATAAAAGTAAATAAACTCTATAATTTAAAAAAATTCTGCAGAATGTATAAAAAACTACTACTTCAAAAGGAGAGGGCAACTCTGCTCCATTACCTGTATCACAGCATTGCAAAACTCAAGGGAATTCATGAATTGTACAAGGGCTGGTGACAAGAGCCAGTCGTCTTTCATCAGACAGTGCCACTCTTCTCCTCTTTCTTCCAGCTTTGTAGGCAAAGATGAATAGAGGCCACTAAGTCCTGTTGCTAGCACCTGTATTTCAAAAACAGAAGAGAAATAACAACTTTCCAACTGTCCATCTGCTTGAATGACAATCCCACAAATGGTTTCTCTTACTAGTTTTAGTAACATAAACCAGAGTCGAGATTAATTTCATTTCCTATTGAAGATGTCCTGTGGCAGAAAGACATTAATATTTTAAAGAGCCTTCTGTATAATATCCTTCTTTCAAGAGCTGGTATTTAGGAGGAAGTGATGGAGAAAAATCAGGTTGTCTTGCTTTTGGTTTTTGGTTTTTCTTTAATACAAAGTTCTAATTACTTTTTAAATACTTCTACAATCATTTTACACTTTCCTCCTGTCCCTTCCAGAAGAAGCCATCACTGCAATATATCTAATCTACAGCTTGTCTTTCGCTGGCAATTTGAATGTTACTGCTTACACATGCCTATACAAACTGATTTCACTTAGAAATATGAGTGACCCATCAACAAAAATGAAGTTCAGCCTCTACAGACCACAGATATATGTTGACTTTCTTTCCTAGGCACTTGAACTGAGCTGAATCCACTTTAAAAAAATTCAAACTCTTCATAACTTCTCATTTTACTTTCTTATTTATTTGAAAGAGGGAAGGGAAGAAATAAAATGCCTGAAATAAGCTACTGTATAGGCATTGTTTCCAGTGATATTAAGGCTTACAGATGGTTTATGTGGAATATATCACTGAAACATAATGTTGTACTTTTAGTTACAATTTTCAAAGTATATTTCCGAAAGTTTTTTTTTAAATTTTACTGACGATATCTGGAGTATTGGTAGTTTCAGATAAAGTTTTTAATTATTAAAATTATTTGAATCTGGAAACTTTCTAAATACTATTTACAACTCATCCTTCTGACATGATTTTATACAACTTCAGGATAATTTTTAAGATGATCCTCATTTTAATGTGAGCATTAAGACTCAGTCTGATGGAAATCTTTTTAATTTTTATTCAACAAACTCTTGTAAGAATTTTTCCTCTTTCTAAAAAGGGCCACTTGGCATCTATAGGGATAGACAGTCAAAGCTATGATGAAACACAACTGTTTTATCTATTAGAAAACAGTTGACAATGTGCAAGTCAAAGACAAAGGGTTCACAGAAGGGGATTCAAGTTTTGATCATATGCAAGCATAAACAATTGCTAACCCATCCAGTCAAAGACTATCTTTCTGAATGCTCTCCATTCGTAAATCACAGGATTCTCAAAGATGGATTTATTCTGCCATACATAATTAAGCTGAATATTAAGGAGTGGGGGAAAATACTGTAGAAGATTCACTGCTTTAGCACACTGCGCTATACACATAGCTATATAAAGAAAGATGCTAGAGATATGTTAAAAATCTAAGAAGCTAAAACCATTGAGCAAAGTTTTATTTGTACAATCACATTTTTCTATAACCAGAATCTTTTTTGCTTTTTCTCTCTCTCATGGTAGAAGAGCTTAAAGCAAAAAGTTAGAAAGATCTTACAAGGCCTATAGAACTACCTATACATAACACACACACACACACACACACACTTAGACTCACAAACTCAGGCTTCAGATGACTCTATGAAGGAAAAAATTCTGAAGTAAGAACTTGGGTTTCTTTTGTGTTGCAACCTGTTAATTATTATGCAGTTGATTTTCCATTGCCCACTTAAAATTTGTTATTCATAAACACATACTTACCCTCTCAGAAAGCAAGGTAATTTTCAGAGCTGTGTACTATCCACATTTCTCCGTCATATGGAAGTTTAGTCCTCAAGCACAAGGAACTGACCTTGAACAAAACATACTACTCTCCACTAAAAGGAGCAGCGAACTCACAATCAGTCAATGTCTTGAAGTGAAGAATTCTTTAGTTTGTCTGACTTACCGAAGTAAGTAGTGACAGATGTAGTTGATAAAATCTGTACAGTTTAAAAAGCTCTTATTTTTGCTACAAAGTACAACACAAATGGCTCTATGAAATTATGTTTCTAAGCCCTGAGACAGACAGTAGCCACTGGAAGCAATTTCATCTCTTTAGGAAAACAACCTTCGAAAATTTTCATAGAAATATATAGTACAAACAGGATTACCATTTGAAGTTACTAACAGAGCTCTTCAAATTCTATAAGTAGGCATATGAAACAATGCACATATACAGACTACATTATGGAGTTTTAATCAGTAAAATGATAAATATTAATTTAAAAAATGAAAGGGAAGAAAATGACTGAGTTCACATCCTGGAAGGGCAAAATTGGTTTTATTTTTTGTTTTACTAGAGCAATGTCCTTTTAAACTTCTCCTAACATTTGTCATGTCAACCCTACATGCTCATCTACTTTTACAAGCATCTCCAGCAGTTTCTGTCTCCAGAGTCATGAGTCTCTCTGCAAACCAATCTCCTTGACTTATTTACTTTGACTCACAGAAGACACTAACTACATGATTTGTAATCCCAGACTCATTATATGATTAAAATGTGTTGTTAATATATAATCAATTCCCTTTAATAATTGCCTTTCTCCCACATCTATAGTCTTTCTATCTCTGTGCAACCTCAACTTTTCAAGGACATTGCAGAGCCATACAGCTCCTCCTACTTTAATACTTGCTTTCCTAAACTGTGCAGTGCTTACAAATACAAAGTTTTATAGAGAGACTTTAAGATGATATCCTGCTCAAAATTATTTAGAAATATTTTTTTATTTCTTATTATAATGCTGAACAGACAATATATTCAATCAGATTCAGAAAACTTTCAGGCCAAAACATGAAAAAAATGATACAGCAGAAAAATCTCTGAGATCAGAAAACTGTGCCCAATGCTTTGTCTATACATTCTGTGTTAAAACATTTGTCAGTGATGTATCTTACTGCAGTCTGTCCCCTTCCTTCTTTATAGTTTATTCACCTACAGTTCTTAATACTATGGACAACCTAGGTTTAAAAAACTGCTAACTAAAGTTACTGCAAAAAACAGTATTAAGAAAGCCTTCAGGTTCACTTTGGCACAGATCTAACACTGATTCAGATGTATGAGACAGCAGAGATTTATGGCCAGACCCCATCCCAGAGCATGTCTATACCATGCAATAAGGCACAGCGAAGAAAACCTGATACACTACCAACCAACTCAGCCCCAGAACCAGAGATAGCATCAACACAGTGCCATCCAAACACCACTCCTATCAGTACAGGACTGCACTAGCTGTTTTGCAGGGTAGCTGAGGCCACATCTGCACTGATTTGAGTTTTATATAGCCATGTCACTGATACCTGCAGTCTTCCCCCAGAACAAAACCTGTTTGTTCAGCTCATCACACTCAAATTCAGAAAATGTTTTGCTAGTGAGCTAATTCTATGGAATTGCATTAAAGTTTTATTATAGACTTAGGCCGGTCTCATTACTGTTCAGAAAAGTCTGATTTTAGCACATTTTGACAAGAAGCCTTCCTAATTAGAGTGATTGTCAATCATGGCTCCCTGCTGTTCGAAGGTTAATATAGCTGGCTTTTATCTTCAGTGTAAAAAGGGTGCACTTTTTTTTTAATTAATTGGAAGATGTAATTATGGAAGTTATAGCATGAATCCAATAATGATATCTGTCTCAGGGATAGTTTGAGAATCAAGTTCATATACTTTAGCAGCGTCTATTAAACAAGGTCAAGTGGAGTCTCTCAGCATAAGAAATTCGATGCAATATTTACAACTGACAGAAGAAACCATTTAGAAATTTTGTTTTGGAACTTGTAGGCCTTCTCCAGCCTGCAAACCTAGCTCTGCCCTACTGCTCAAAGGTTGTAGCAATCTCAGAGTAAATAGAAACCTATGGCTGGAATAGCTGTCATGAACTAATGCTTAAGGCAGGGATTCTAGTGCTCTCTGCTCTGAAGCTCTCTGCTGTAGTAGCTGTGTGTAAGGCTTCCCTTCACTTCATTTGTTCTGGCATTTATTAAACTAAAATGTAAGCCACACAGAAGATAAAAATATCAGTCCAAAAACTAGCACACAAGAACAATCTTTCTACAGATTATATTCAGTTTTGAACCCATCCATTGCAGATCTCAAACCGATCTTTGTGGTAAGACGTGAAGAAGCAGGTGTCCATTCAGCTTTAGCTTTAAAACTAGAGTAGGGTAACTTGCTTTGTTAAATTAGATTATTTGTTTAACAGCAAAGGTTTTCTATTCATGTAGTAAGACAGATTTTTCAGACACAACACTACTACCAAATTTTGTAACAAAGTACAATACAGCAAGATGGTGGCTTGCCTGAGATGGCCATAGAAACATCCAATTCTGTGACAAAGAGCAAGTCTCCCTTTTATCTTGCAAAAATACTGCATTTCTATAAACACATTATTTTCACACATTTTTTGAGCTGTTGAACTGATGTTATAGTGTGGCAAGCACAGCCCGCTTCAGCTAGCGCTGCCACCAGAAACAATATCAGAACACCCTGTCCCTATTTCTCACTCCCATCACCCCCAGAATCTCATAGGGGCCTCACAGTGAGACAGCACAGGTTTCCCTCCCACCAAGTCCTGCTACAACTTCCATCAGTTTCCCAATTCAATTCACTGTGTCACTGCAAAAACACTTGTGCTGGCCCAAAAGCACAAGACATTGGTATGGAAACAAAGAGCAAAACCATGTTTGGTAGTAGAGCTGGTTTAAGTGGTATTACAGTTTGTGAAATAGCTGTTAGCAGAAACAAATGTCTTACAACACATCAGTGACAGAAAAGGATGAGAAGAATACAGGAGAGACAGTTTAGCATTGAAGATCAACCAAAACAAGAACAACTTACTGGGCAAAAATAGGTGTTTTCTGCTATATGGTTTGCAACAACGTTGTTTTCTGCAGACAGAGACATTATGAAAAGCAGTGCATCACGGGCCTGTTGGCCTACTGTTCCTTCTCGGTGGATGAAGGGAATCAGCAATGAAAATATGAGAAAATTGGCAGCTCCTTGGTCCTCGCTGGTGTGGAAGAACAGTTCTAAAATGGAGGGATCTTTGGCTATTATAGAGCAAAGCTGGTTCAAGAGGATGACCAACTCTGTTTCCACTGTTGAAGTGGCTGTTCCTGAGCAGGAACTCAGTAACATCATCAAAGGCTTCAAGATGGGCTTGTGATGCAGCAAAGGCTGATGAGACTGAGTAACTAGCATTTCATACATTTTGAGTTGCTCAATTTTTGTTTCATCAGTGAACTCTCGTCGTAAGCTCCAAAGAAAAAGCTTCTCCATTATGTTTTCTGAGACCACGAATTCCAGAATAGGCCCCATTGAGGCATCCTTTGCTTGTTCCTCAATTAATAAAAACAGCATGTGCTCCACATAATTCTGAACAGTGCTGGCCTCATCAGGTGAAATTGCCCCGTACTTTGCCTGAGTGTTTTTCAAAGGATCATGCTTCTCTAAGATCTTCAGAACCTAAACAAAGGCAGACCAGTTATTTGAATGCATTTTTAATAAATATGCACTTACTCCTATATGGAAAAAGACATCAAAATTGCTGAACAGAATAAATGTACTCTTTTTATTCTTTTAGTTTTTGTCTATCAAACTTGCTAAATTTTCATACTTGCTAAATTTTCAAACTTGCTAAATTTTCATGCTAAAGTTTCATATTTGGCATGTACAAGGCCAAAACGTAATGCTTTTTTTTTTTTTTTTTTTTTTTTCATAAGCACCTACATTAGCCCCTTGTCCTATTGCTGGAAACTTGGGGCTCTGAAGTATGGATAAACTAGATTCTCTTAGTCTTCAGAAAGTGAGTTTCAATGATTGAAATAAGTTTGTCACAGAGGACCAAAATCAAAGGGCATAGCCAGAGTAGCTGTGCTCAGGAGTATCAAGATCATGAGATGCATTTGCAGTAAGACTAGCAGAAGACCACTGAGTTGACCTTCTCTTGCCTTATATGATACCAAATGGCCACTGATGCCCACGTACCCTCGCAACATTCCATATAGATTTAGGATTGAGTAACAGTTGTCATCAAGCCCTTATACCCCGGGATTAAATTATGTTCTGCACACAATCAATGAACCTCATTGTGAAACAATCATTGCCTTTAGCCTTTTTGTGGAGAATAGTTGCCACAAAAGTACAAAGGAGCAGCAGGTCCCCTAACACAACAGCATCACTAGAGTTAAGTGAGAAAAGGTCACTCTTGAGCAATGGCTTCTCTGACTCTGGAAACAGCTCAGGAATATCACCATTTGTCTGGCTTCCTTCTCAGAACAGCCAAATAACAGCAAAAGTAGCAGCACAGAAATCAATTTTACATAAACAGTTATTCATATTACTGCAGTAAATAAGACCTACAGTGCTCAGAGCAAAATATCTTTGCCTAAATGCAATTATAATTCTGATGACATGCAAACAATTTTTAGAATATGCTCAAGTACATAATCTACATCTATCCATAATAAACAATGCTGCATACACCTTTGCACCATGTGTCTAATATACTTTACAAAAGATAAGCAAGCCTTACCCCGCACAAGGAAAGGAAGCACAGATGTTTGCAACAGGGTACAAGTCACAGTGAATCACTAGGAAAGGCAGTTAGAAGATCTAGGCCTTCCATAAGATATTACCATGCTCTACTGCTTCCCACGTAGATGCAAATCTGGAGTTCAAACTGTGATTAGTAAAGCCTAACCATACCTTGAAAGGTCAATTACCTTTGTTTTAAACACACTTCAGTGTCATCTACTACAAGACAGACATTTGTTCCTGAGCAATTCAGGCTTATCTCAATAGAAAGAATGAAGCAAATTCCTATTAATGCAGCCTACTTCAAATCAATACAACTAATTAACATTACCTGTGCCCAGTGTGTTCTAAACACTATCATGCATGTTTCTGGGTCAACACCCTGCAGGCTCGGAGCCTGCCGATTTTTGCTGATACTGGTTCCAGAGGACATTATAAATTTTCCAAAGGTCAAGCCAACTAAGCCATGATGGATTCCTTTTTAAATCCTGTAGTTAGTTATAGATGTTCAAGCATCATGGTGAGATTGATACTGTGTTTTGAGCTTTAGTATCCACAGAAATCTGTTTCAAAAACAAAACAAAAACCACACATATACATATACACATCAAATTATAGTGTATAACAAAAAAGAACATAAAGAGAACACTAACATCTTTTCTTTTAATTCAGTTTGAGGATAGAATTTTTTTAAGCATGCTATATGGGACCATCTTTTCAAACTTTTCCTCATGATAATAGTTTCTAGTGCTCAAACTTTTGACATCAGTGACTGAATTAAGGTGCTACTGAAACAAATACACATAACAGAAGCTCATGCAATAAACATTGTTAGTTTTTCATTAGGATGTTTTTGCTATCTTACCACGTCTCTCTTCAGTGTTACTCAGTAACTGGCGTTGTATAGACTATATAGGTGAAGAAAGCACAGGTTATTTCTCTATTTTTTTTCTAAAACCAACTTTTCCATGAATAAGATATCATTACAAATACTTAAAGTTTTCTGCCAGAAAACATATCATAAACAGTTGAAAACAACTGTAGAACACCATATGGGAGCAGAAGGATGTACCTGTATCAGTAACAAAGTAACCAAAAACCAAACAGCACAACAGATAAAACAACAGAAAAATCCAAAGCCAAATAAATTGATGTGTCAAATTTAAGGACTAAAGGACTATGAGAATAAGACCAAACACTGAAACATGCTTTTCATCCATTAGTTAATGTCCAAGATATCTGAGTATCAAAGTAGTTGCGCACCTGCAAGGGAAAGTTAAAATGAAACAAAGACAGATATCTTCCAGAGAGCTGTGAGGCTTAAGTGAACATATTACACCCTCAAGCACCAATATCTAAGGTTTTTTATCATCATTACCAACTTAAGTAGTTACCACTGTATGTTAAGTGCACAACTTCTAGTGACTTTTGATTACAGCTCCGAGAGCTCCACACTTCTACCAAAAATCACTCAGAAAACAAGATGTATGCTTAGAGAACATTTAGAAAAAGTCTGCTCCAAGTAGTTTGACTAATACCATACCTAATAATCCAAAGGAATATTTAATTGACCTATTCTTCAGATCACATGTCTACTTCCTGCCAGTTCCCTCTTTGTCAGCCCTTCTTCCAATTTCAGTAAAAGTTCAACAGACTCTTCCAGGCAAAAGAGTCCTTCACTGCATAGCCCTGATTCACCCTTTGAGCAGATCTGTCCTATGCACGAAGTGAAGCAAGCAGCTTTGGAAAAACTAATGTGATCGTGTAATTAAAGATGGTATCATAAGGTGCAGCAAGAGAATTTAATTAACACAAAGCAGAGGCAAGCTCAATTCCAGAATTTAAGAGTTGTTTGACTTTACAACTTAGAGGTTGTTTCAATGTGGTCTTTGCATGTTATTTAAGAATTTAAATAAATGAAATTGATATTATGCATCTAGATATCACATGACAAATTATGTCAGCAGTACAGCAGTATGATACCAAGAGTAGAATTAGAAACTTCAGATCAGCCTCATCTATTATTTAAGCTGGTAAACTACAATAAAAGAGATTATGGCTTTCTTCAAGAATGCTGATAAAAATCAAGGATCAGTGATATATGACTCTTGAGATGCATGCAGAGCTCTAGGATGTACCACACACAGACAATCCAAAACTATTTAACCATTTACCCTCACTTCTCCTCTAATCTATTCTAATTCTCTGTCCTCCCTAGCCTTCGCAATTTCCTTTTTTCCTCATGCATCTTTCCTATCCCAGCCTCAGACTCTACTCCACAAATTTCAAGACAATACTCATTCCCTCTGCATCTGACAGACCCTTCTTTAAACAGCTACTTCTATTTTGTAGCTCTCTAAACATAGTTTTTTGGAGTAGAGGTTCCATACTGGTGCTTCAGTCATTACAGATTCCTGAAATATTGCCCTACTTCTCTGCAGCTGTGAAAAGACTAAAGTAAACAGAAATGGTGTATCTCCCACCACACATTCAAAATACAGCAACATGCCAAGAGATCCAGTGACAGAGCCACTGTTACGTTTGTCTGTCCAGCTGGAAACCTCACTTTCCACAAAAGTGCTAGCTAGTTATTGACATTTGTGTAAGAATTTATAACCACCACTATGTTACTGAACACTCAAGTCCTGCCTCTGTTAACAGCTTACTGTCTAAGCAGATGCCTGCTACAATCTGCACTTGTTGTATGGACATCTTTTCCCACACAAGGATATCCTAAGTTTAGCCGCCATATATAATGAACAGATACAGCCCCTGTGAAAGAAGTCTTCAAGACAAGCAGGTGTCCCCTCATCTCCTGCATAATAGGACCCCTAAGGTCCTATCTATGCAAGATATTTAAGAGCTTCTTGCTCCTTCCAAGTTCTGATTTGGGCACACTCAAATACAACAATGGGTGGTCTCAGATAAACATGTCATTAACAACTGCTAGCATCTTGATTCAAATCAGATCTTTTTCAGAGTTAGATGACACTTGATCAGAAGAGCAAGGGCTTCCAGTGTTGCTGCCTCTAGAAATGTCTATGCTACCAACGACAGAAAACTTTTAGGAAGGATTCCTCTAGCTGATGTTGCATGCATCCTGCCTGGTCCATTTACTATATTTGTTACTACAGGCGCAAACTTTACCCCATTTCTTGATAAGAGCTTTGGAAGTATGCGATTGACAAACTGTAAAATAGGAAATTCATCTCCAGCATTTATGTACTCTAAAGCCTGAACCTAACAATATACTGCAAGTACAAACAATCACAAGATAAAAGCCACTTACGTCTTTAGTAACAAGGAGTCACTAAAAAGATCATTTGTCCCTTGGTGACAGACAATAACATCTCAGTAAAATTCTAACAGTCTAACAGTTCTTTCTGAATATTCACTCCTACTGCACAAAGTCATCATAAACACACTGTAGAAAGCACCATATGAAAAATTAAAAAATACCAAATTATTAGCAGAAAACAACTTGCCTGCAGCAAACATTAAGTTGCCGAGAGCTAAGTTCACTTGCATCTAGCCCAGCTATGACATCAGAAATCTAAGAGTAGTGAAAGAGCACAGACATTATCCTCACAGTGGCCAATACCATGGCTTTTTATTCAACTCTAATTTAAAAGAGATGGCAACAAGCAGACCATGCAATAATATTTCTAAGATCAAATCAATTCCCTTAAGGAAGCAAATATTCCCAGCTTGGAGAGCATCTTGGGATGCTGGGATTTCCTTAGTAATACAAAACACTAATAGATTGTGTAGGCTTCAAAGACTGTAACAGTGTTTCAAAAAGCATACAAAGCTTTTGACAACTTAAGTGGTCACAGAGTAGATTCTGAAACAACATAATTTTTAAAAAAGGAAAGTAATTGAATTGGAAGAGATACTATCTTTTAAGATACATATCAATCTAAAGTTAGCATGCTCTAGTTATAGCAGTAGTAGAAAGAATACATTCATTATATTTGTGGTAAGCAGATTTTGTTACTAGATCAGTAGGTTTTCTTGATTATTTTGCAAGACTAAACATGCCACCCTAACTGCAACATCACATTATTCCTTGTGAAGTAAAACTAACTCCAATTAAACAGGACAAATAACCTGACCGTATTGAGTCCGAATGTGAGAAAATAAATTTATAAAACACTGATTCATGGAGAAAGTGGTAGAAGTGAACTTGGGTGACACTAAGAACAAAAGTAACCATTTATTTTAATCAGCTTATGGTTAAGATTCTACAATTTAGCCTTTCCTAAATCCTGATCAAGGCGTAACTCCACTATGTGATAGTTCTGCCAAGTGCAGATACACACCTCCTCCAGCCCATTCAAAATTCTACTTCCAAAAACCACTGCTCTGTTTAATACTTTGACGCTGCCGCACAATAACAGAATCTTCTTAGCAGGTAAAACTTTCCGCAATTAAACCATATGTTATCTATCAGGTGTTTAACCCTATTACAAGGTCAAGTCCACTTACATATGCCTTCTAGAGCCATTTCAATTGTCTGTACTCACAACACTTCTGCCTCACATCCCTCCTCTCCTACACGAGGTACCTGGCCCTACCGCCAGGGGTTTATATATTTAACAAACCCCACGGGGAACAAGAAGCACCAATGTACACAATCACACACACAAGCAACTGAGGTTCAGGGAGAAAAGTCACTATCTCCTCTAAGATCTTCCTATATTCTCTATGTAACTGGGCAACAGCTTTTGAAATTAGGCAACTAATTTGTACCTACATCAACTTTGTTGGTTTCATATTAAATACCTTTTAATGTGAGCTTGGTTTGCTGGTTGGGGTTTTTTTCCCCCTGCAATTCTGGTCAACTCTTGTATATACAAACATGTTAAAAAGCACCTGTCTCTCCCTAAGCAGCAGCAGAGAAAGTTATACAGTCACATACATAGGTCTATAACCATCTCTCTCCAGTCTCTGGTAAGTGAAGAGGATGGGAAGAAGAGAACAGAAAACTTTAGCTCAATTCAGCCTATTTCCAGTTTAAAAAAATAAATAAATCAGAACTCTACAACTGTGCTGAGTAGTTTTAGATGAATTATGAGATTGAGACCCAGTCATTGGACTCGTGGAAGATACCTGCTTTCAGTTTTCCTTCAGAAGTCTGTAAATCATCAACCACTTTTACACAGCTGATTGCAGGACTGAACTCCCCAATCAACAGAAGTACTTACTTTACTGCAAAGTATACTGTAAGAACAGCCTAGCAGAGAATCCCTTGTGAAGTCTGCTCCCACTGGAGTGTCTCTTTTCAGAAGTTTCACTTTTGAATTTAAAAAACTGCACAGAAGCTTGCAGGATCAGGGCTTCCCAAGCAATGCACAACATGCAAGCAAAAGATACGCTGCCTAATACAGTAAGGTAGAAACAAAATAGGCTGCAAGGCTTTGCATCTCATCTTCTCTTGAAATGCTAAGATGCTGTGTTCTCCAACAGTTCTCAAACACAAGTGTACCTCTGTTATCGGATACCTCATGCTTTTGCTCTACTGGCCAGAGCTTGCCACCTTGTCAGTCCAGGTACACAAGAG